AAACACACATTAGACGGCAATCGGAAGTTATTACAAACACTTGATGGTGGTTTAAAGTGAGTTTTGAGTAAAAGCGGAATATAAATCTTATTTATTGTCTTATGTAGCATGATGCTACAGTTTGCATGAATGCTCACGTAACACGTGCTTTCGGTCGTGTAGTATGAACGGACATCATCAGAACTCCACGCAGCTCTTGCACTACTCTCCATTGGAAATGAATGACTGAATGACCGGGCTGTCGCTTGTCGTTTGTCGGAGATAGTGGAAAGCCGGCTTGAAACGCAGTGGAAACGCCAGTATGACGAGGATCACTTTCATTTTAAAACATAAACGCACCAGTGTAAATGTAGCCTTACATCTAAGGGGGCTGCGACGCATTCACACTACAGCCTCACGTGTGCGCCACATCTCTGAGTGTAACTGGTGTAAAGTAGTAGGTGTGTTCGACTTGACGCGGACCGACAGTGCAGACCGATCGGTGTATTACAGTACCACGAGAGCTAAAGAGAGTCCTTTCGAATCGCTCTCGCGGATGTCAAACACTGATCGATTTGTGCCGCACCTCTTCTAGTCGAACACACTGGCTAGTGCTGCAGGCTTATTGGCTCAATGGCGCTGATGAGATTAACCCCTTAGGTATTAAAATTTGGTACCGAACGATGAGACATTTTTCGATACTCGATAGTATCGAGGCATTTCGGTCTAAAAAGTATCGAACTCGATACCCAGCCCTAATCCTCAGTTAAAACACAAACTGATAAAATGTTCAAAAGTTAGGGTTAAATAAATAAATAAATATGTAAATATAGGTTTCCACAAAAATATTAAAAACAGCACAACTCTTTTCAATATTGATAATAGATCATGGACATGCATGCGACACTGGATCATGTGACACTGAAAATTCTGCTTTTCCATCACAGGAATAAGTCGTTTTTAAAATATATTAAAACAGAAAAACATTTATTTTCAATAGTAATATTATTTCACAGTAGGGCTGCACGATAAATCGCATGCGATATATAATGTGCATCTTGTTAGTAAAGCCGCTTCTGTAATCAGCGGTAAATCTCCATCACGTGTCACTGTCAGTGAACAACGGCTCTGTGTAGTAAATGCTGCTCCATGTGAAAGCACGCAGGTGATGGAGATTTACCGCTGATTACAGAACCGGCTTTACTAACAAGATGCGCATTAAATAATCGCATGCGATTTATCGTGCAGCCCTACTTAAAAATCGCACAAACCTCAAACTTTTGAATGGTAGTGTAAACACTGAAGGGGATTTAAGGTACATTTTTAACTTGACACAAGTTGTCTTAAAAACAATAAACATCCTACACATGAACACAGAACAACACTTAAGTGATGGCAGAACTCGCTCCAGTACATCCATACACTAAAAGACTACGTCTAAACACGCATTTCCAGGGTTTGTCATTCAAATGTGCTCACGTCAACACAACACACACACACACACACTAATGACAGGTGAGATCAGCCCTATCCCTGTGGCACACGGCCCAACATTCCTCTCCTCCGCAGGTATTCAGGAACGGAAAATAAAACCAGCACACAGCAGTCGCCACGGATTCAAGGGAGCGGGCATCTGTTTCTACAGAGACATCTCTCTAGGACTGACCCTTGACCCCATGATATGGCCATCCGAGCAAAAGACAGAGAGAATTTGATACAAGGGCTTAGAGAGACACTGCCACTGTGTGGTAAACGATGGAATAGCACTCACTGCTCACACTGAATTAGAATCTTCCTGTAGATTAGGGGCGTAATGTTTGATAAATGTGTTATGACTCCCTGCATTTGTTCAAGAGCAGGTTTCACCATAAATTACAGATCGTTATTTACCTGTCTAGCTTGTTTAGCATCAAATGAGCAATGGTAAACGGGGGAAAAACAGATGGAACCTGAACGAATGCATTGTGTGCTCCAGCTGTTGTTACCCCAGCTTCAATTTCACATGGTCTATGTATGCATGTGTGGTTAAAACCAAATACCTTTCATGCATGCACTGTAAAAGCCAAAGGGTTCACTAAAAGACTATTTCCTAAATTACAATTAAACTTCACTCAATTATTTAATTTGACTGAAACTTAAAGGTTTATTTCAGCTCCAAAATGAAAATGTCCTGATAATTTACTCACCCCCAGGTCATGTCAGCAGAAGTTAGAGCAAACTGTTTCTATTGTTTTAAATATAAATATTTTTCTTACAAAAATGCATCGTTTTGCTATAGGAGGCCTATATTCCTCCCCTGGAGCCATGCGAGGTACTGTTAATTATGGATGTATTCCCTTTACTGGACGTCTTTTGGACTGTTGAGTGAAAACATCCGCACACTGCCATTATAAAGCAAGAGAAGAAAGTCATAAAGAAGAAAATTATAAAGAAAAAAGCATATACACCTAGGATGCCTTAAGGCTGAATAAATCATTGGTTAATTTTCATTTTTGGGTGAACTAACCCTTTAATATAATTAGTTATTGAGTTCACATAACTTTTTCTATTAAGTGGAATTAACTTTTAGTTTAAATTAATATTAATGTAAAATGAACTAATTTCATTTTCAGTTCAATTTCACATTTAAATTTTAACTACTAATAAATATATCTGAAATGATATGTTAAACATCCCATAGTAACATTCTAGAAACTAGCCAAACCATCAAAGCAACCATCTATAAATGTCCTAACAACCTTCTTAGCAACACCCCAGAAAACCCAAGCAACTGCCTAGCAGCACCGTAGCAATCATTTAGCCCAGCAACCACAAGAATACCCTAGCAACCATTTAAGAATGTATTAGAAAACATCCAGAACATTCTAGAAACCACTTAGTAACAACCTAGCGACAACCCAGTAACTACAAACTACCTCAGCAAATATCTGGTTTCTTAAAGTAGCATGAATAACTTGAAGAGTGCTGCTGTTTAAACAGAATAAGGATTTCTAAACGCAAGGTTATTGCAAGTGCAAATGTTTCAACACTAAAACACATTAACCCATATCATCTGTACTCACCTGTTGCTCAGAGGGTCGTTGGGCTTCAGACTGGAGTCGTTGTTGAGGGAAGCCTGGCGCGGGAGTCCTAGAGCTCGGCTGTGGTCCCCTGGAGGCCCCTGGTACAGCAGTGGGGCTTCCTGAAGTTTGGCCTTCTTTTCCTGCGGAGCCTCTTCGTGGCGTCGGCGAGGGTCACTCGCACCCGAGGGCAGGGTGCCCCCTGGGCCGCTGTAGAACCAGGCCCCTGACTTGGTGAGGATTTCTTGTTGTTTTCGGCACAGGTTGCATACCCACATCACCTGACGGTGAGAGAACAGCAAGTTAGAATCACAGGAGAACACAAGACCCCAAATGAGATGATGAATGAAAACTTGCTGTTGTGGGAGAAGCGATTTGCAGTCTTAAATTAGCAATTTGTGTGTCAACTGTGAAGCCAAAGACGGAGTGAATAATGGGATATTTGTCCAGAACCTCATGCGCAGGTCCCACAACAAACAGGTTCAGAAACGGTGATGCTGGTGCAGCTGACAAACAAAACTGTCAAAATTCATGTGAGAGGAAATGAACAATGCAAAGTTTAGGCTCAACCAATGGCATGAGTTTGGGGGCAGAGCCACCTGGTTTGTCTGACTTTTAGAGCACTGTAGGGATGACGTATGTTTGTAGGCCAAAGCCTGTAATCGAATTAGCATTTAAACACTTCTGGTTTCATTGTCCTGAAGTCAATGGGGTTTTGAATGGGTTAAGTGCTTGAAATAAGGTCTGTGGATAACACAAACACAGATTTTCATGTTTTATTCTATGACATAAAAAAACACCAGTAACAATACCCTTGCAGTGTTGCCAAGTCCACGGTTTTCCTGCAGAATTGGGCTACTTTTATACTGTTGCTGCCGGTTGTTTTTTCAGTCTGTGGGTTGAAGCAAAAACCCCCCACCCCCTGGAACATTATTTCAACTAGGTGGAACCCCCCAGAAGGCGATTTTGATTAAATTTTGACAGTCATTTTCCACCAGAAAACAACTGAGCCTTCACAAAGTCCCGCCACCCTTTGTTACTGTTGCTATGTCCGACAAGCCATGCGCTCTCAGGCCACACATCAGGTTCTCAAGCAGTTAAATAAAAACATCACTGAGCAAAGAGAAAACTGACAACGTGCCGACAGACAGGACAGAGCAGGTTACTTTTTTGGTATAAAACAAAGTCTCAGCTTTCAAATGTTGTAATTTTTTTAAGAAATTCAAACAATAAATGCCGTTTTGCGGCTCTTTAATGTGATGTTACAGATCGCTGCAGCGACTCAGTTTAAGTGGCACATGAACAGATCATCTCTTCCTCATTACTAGTTATAGCATACGATAAACATGAATGAGCATCAGAAGGTATCTTCTTTCAACCGCAGAAAGACGTCAATACACATCGTTTTCAAGTTAAAATACACCAATGTTAATCTACTCTCCGGTCTGGTTTGTTTGTTGGACAAAAATGGCAGATTCTGTGTTATGATTGGTCAGATCACCTGTCAATCAAACTCCCAGTGAAGGGGCAATTGGGATAATTTTGGCAGTGATTGGGCTAGTTTTGAATACCAATTGGGCTGGTTTTGTTATGCAGACTTGGCAACCCTTACCCCTTGTTATATATATTTTAAAGGGGTCAAATTATGCTATTTTAAAAGATCATTATTTTGTGTATTTGGTGTAACAGAATATGTTGACATGCTTTAATGTTCAAAAAGCACATTATTTTTTAAAAATAATGCCTCTATGCCCCGCCTCTCTCAAACACGTCGTTTTCAACAAAGCCCCCTCCTTTGACAAGCGCAGTCTGCTCTGATTGGCCAGCTGACCCAGTGCATTGTGATTGGCCGAACACCACAAGCACGCGTCGGAAATGTAATGCCCCTTACCATAATCACGAGCTTCACCTTTCAAAGTAAATATCAAGACAGTTAATAATGTTGTTAGTTTTACCATCAGTTCAAGCCCAAAAGAGCAACAGAGTCGCGTGACAGACACAGTGATGATGCAGTACACAAGCC